AAGAGTGGCCCACAAGGCGTAATTCCATATAAAAATGAATGTATTAAAAGATACTTACAACCGCTCAAAATTACTCTTTGCATATCACTCATCAAAGTCAAATTATTCATTCAATATGCCATTAAACCGCCCAGCTAGCACAGGCACTATTCTGACCATATCTGGTCAAACCGTATGGACATGAAGTCACTTTCCAGTATGTCATTGACATCATGCAGTCGCAGTCATTTATATTATTACCCCATTCCTACATCCTTTATATTATATGGATAAATACTACATGAGACCCAAACTTTTTACTTCCAGATCCCCACCTTCTAAACCACTACGATCTTCAATTCATATAATTACCAAACTATACATCAGTAGTCATTAATGAAACAGTTTAAATCTGGCTAGAATTATGTGGATGCTTAACAAAAAGTAATCAAATAAGAAGGGTTGACTGACAAGGGCTTGAAGGTAAGGAGAAACTTCCTGCACGCTGTGTTCACAAAGCAGAAAGGAATAAGATGCTGCAGCACAGCATCAAGCTAAACCAGTACCATAGTATATATATATATATATATATATATATATATATATATACACACACACACACAGTTGTGTTCAAAATAATAGCAGTGTGTTGAAAAAAGTGAATAAAGCTCAAAATCCTTCTAATAGCTTTCCATTTCCATACACACAAATGCATTGGGAACACTACACATTCTATTCCAAATCAAAACATGAAGAAAAATATATCAAAGTTGTGTTGTTCCTCTAAAAAAATTGAAGAAAAGTGAATATTAGACTGTTCAAAAAAAAATAGCAGTGTTTGTATTCTTCTTTACAAACTCAAACATTCACTATATAAACTGAAAAATACTTGAAGATTTTGCTTTCCTTTGAATCACTTAATTAATATTTAGTTGTATAAGCACTGTTTCTGAGAACTGCTGTACATCTGTGTTGCATGGAGTCAACCAACTTCTGGCACCTGTGAACAGGTATTCCAGCCCAGGATGATTGGACTACATTCCTCTATTTCTTGGTTTTGCCTCAGAAACTGCATTTTTGATGTCACCCCACAGGTTTTCTATTGGATTAAGATCTGGGGATTGGGCTGGCCACTCCATAACGTCAATCTTGTTGGTCTGGAACCAAGATGTTGCACGTTTACTGGTGTGTTTGGGGTTGTTGTCTTGTTGGAACACCCATTTCAAGGGTATTTCCTCTTCAGCATAAGGCAGCATGACCTCTTCAAGTATTCTGATGTATTCAAACTGATCCATGATCCCTGGTATGCGATAAATAGGCCCAACACCATAGTATGAGAAACATCCCCAAATCATGATGCTTGAGCAACCATGCTTCACTGTCTTCACAGTGTACTGTGGCTTGAATTCAGTGTTTGGGGGTCGTCTGACAAACTGTCTCCGGCCACTAGACCCAAAAAGAACAATCTTACTTTCATCAATCCACAAAATGTTGCGCCATTTCTCTTTAGGCCAGTCAATGTGCTCTTTGGCAAATTGTAACCTCTTCAGCACACATCTTTATTTCAACAGTGGGACTTTGCGGGGGCTTCTTGCAGATAGCTTGGCTTCACATAGGCGTCTTCTAATTGTAACAGTACTCACAGGTAACTTTAGATCTTCCTGGAGCAGATTGTTGGCTGAGTCCTTGCCATTTTGGCTATTCTTCTATCCATTTGAATGGTAGTTTTTCGCTTTCTTCCACGTCTTTCAGGTTTTGGTTGCCATTTTAAGTACTTGCCAACCGCAGATAGCCGAATGATGGCTACACTGCAGCCGGCTAGTTCTGGGAGGGTATCATATGACGTCCTACCAGAACGCGCTCTCCTGCACGCCCCCGGGGGCGTGCACCCGGCGATCTCTGTGATCGCTGTGTCCTACTGACACAGCTGATCACGTGATGTAGTAAAAGGCCAATCACAGCGGCCTTTTACCGCGTGATCAGTCGTGTCCAATGACACGCGGATCACCTGGAAATGCAATTGCCGATTCTCGGCTGCACTTTCCTCATGCTGTCAGAGTGCGAGGAAAGTACTGCCGAGAACCGGCAGTTGTCAGAGCAGGGATTGGCACCGATCATCAGGGCACTGATGATTAGTGCCCTGATGATCGTGCCCAGCAGCGCCACCCACCAGTTCCACCCACCTGTACCCAGCAGTGCCGCCCACTAGCTCCGCCCACCTGTGCTAGCAGTGCACCCACCTGTGCCCAGCAGTGCACCCCCCTGTGCCCAGCAGTGCCCACCAGTGCAACCTACCTGTGCCCAGAAGTGCCACCTACCTGTGCCCAGAAGTGCCACCCACCTGTGCCCACCAGTGCCACCCTCCTGTGCCCACCAGTGCCCATCAATGCAGCCCAGCACTGCTGCCACCAGTCAGTGCCCAGCGGTTGTGCCAGTCAGTGCCCAGCAGTTGCGCCAGTCAATTCCTAGCAGTGCCGCCAGTCAGTGCCCAGCAGTGATGCCAGTCAGTGCCACCTATCAGTGCTGTCTATCAGTACCCATCATCAGTGCCTATCCGTGACACCTCATTAGTGCTGCCCATCAGTGCCGCTTATCCGTGCCACCTCATCAGTGCCCTTCAGTGCTGCCTATCAGTGCCCATCAGTGCCGCCTAGCAGTGCCCATCAGTGCTGCCTCATCAACGCACATTAGTGAAGGAGAAAAATTACCTGTTTGAAAATTTTTTTTTTTTTTTTCACATTTTTTGCACACTTTTTGCTTATAGCGCAAAAAGTAAAGCGCCCAGCAGCGATTAAATACCACCAAAAGAAAGCTCTATTTGTGAGAAAAAAATGATAAAAACTTCATATGGGTATAATCTTGCATGACCGCGCAATTGTCAATCAAAGTGCGACAGAGCTGAAAGCTGAAAATTGGCCTGGTAAAGAAGGGGGTATAAGTGCCCGGTAGGCAAGTGGTTAAAGCATTTGTGATCATTTTAGCTGAGCAGTCTATCATTTTCTGCACTTCTTTATATGTTTTCCCCTCTCCAATCAACTTTTTAATCAATGTACGCTGTTCTTCTGAACAATGTCTGAAACGACCCATTTTCCTCAGAATTTCAGAGAGAAATGCACTGTAACCAGAATGTACAACATTTGCTGCCTTCCTTCCTTAAATAAGGGCAATAGTTGCCACCTGTTTTTCAAAGAATGAATGACCTCACTAATAGAACTCCACACTGCTATTATTTTGAACATGCCCCTTTCAATTAGTGATTCAATTACACAGAATCAGCAGCATGCATGTCATGACTGTTGGGTCTGTTGGATTTCTATTACACTACTACACCTGCTAGTAAATTATTTGCCATGTAGAAATATCATTTCTACCAAAAACAATGATTGATCAGGTTAGTGATGTCTTACTGCTATTATTTTGAACACAACTGTATATTTTTTTGGCTAAGCATAGAGAATATATTTTGTGCACAGTATAAACTCTGGAGCCTGTGCAGTTCTTGACAAATGTCTGACAGATCAGCCTGATACAGCTTCTCATTTTGTTAGACAGCCCATGCTTTATGATTTTTTTTATTTTGTTCAATCAGGGGGTGACAACCAGGGAATGCCTCGATCTTTATTCTTAGTAAAGCTCCCTGCAAATTTGCACTAGTAGAATCACATGGTCAACAAAGGTGCATAGAGTTATGGTTTTCTCAGTGCCAACACAAGACCAGATACCAGAGAGTTGATATTTTGAATTGTGCTGTCAGAGAGAGCTGCAGAGAGTTCCCTGAACCTGAACTGCAAACAAGTTTAAATCAATCAATACAGATTAACAGGAAAAAAAAAAAAAAAAAAGCAAAACTCTCAGCACTCAAGGGGTGTGAATATGACCCACATGCAGGACTGAGTGTGGTCACTCTACTAAAGTGATAACATGACCACACTTAAGCAGCAGCTCTCAGATGATACCAGTGGGTTGCAGGAAAAAATATGACCAATTCCCCCAATCCACACAATCCAAGACTGAACCTGGCACAAATTAGTAACCTAATGCAGCCACTTAGCATGAAGAGGAGTAGGGGCTTCCATTTTCAGGGAAAAAATAAACACAGAGAAAGGCAGCACAGAAGGGACAATAGTGTAGCAACACAATAATGATTTTAATTTAGAAAAATGGATTACAAGTCACTAGCAAACAACAGAGGAATAACAGCATAACAGCAGAACTCAGTGTTGTGATGTGAAACCTTCCACCCTGGTCAGTGAGTAGAATCCACATCTGTCAAACAGCCTCAGTTGGAAAAAGACAGCAGCAAAGCAACTGCTGTCCCGAGTCCTCTCGATGGGAAGTCGTTCTCCCAGAAGTGAAGTCTCAATAGCACAGGAACACATTTTAGGGGAGTCTGGGGATATTGGTTATTTAGGAATGGAGGTAGTCTGTGAGGTAGTCTGAGGAAGGAGAGTTCCTCCCCGAAATGTAGTCCTGCACTACTGTGATGTCACTTCTGGGGGGCGGGTACCCATCGAGCACACTTTGGGGTGTACTTGGAATGGCAGTTGCTTTGACATACTGCTGCTGCTGCCGTTTTCCAGCTAAGGTTATCTAACAGGTGTGGACTCACTGGCCAGGGTAGAAGGTTTTTCACCAGGACACTGGATTCCCTTAAGTTCTTCTGATATTCTGCTATCCCTCTGATGTTTCCGAGTCATTTTAATCTATTTTTATTATTAAAATCCTTATTGCTTTACAACACTATTAGCCCATCTGTGCTGTTTTTCTCTGTTCTTATCTTTTATCCAGATTCAAGAGTAATAATGGAACAAAAAATCACATACTTTGGCCATAAACATTGAAGACAAGATTCAGTAGAGAGGATCATGACCCAATGATAGAACATAGTGGGAAAAGGCGCTGAAATAAATAAAGGTGCTGCTAATAGACAAATTATCTTGTGCTAGCTCAGAGACTTGTGCTTTAGTCCATGAGGTCTCAGAGTCAGATTTGACTGAACATACTCGCATAACACAACTCACCTTAGATATTTCACCATCATGCCCTTCTAGCTTGGCTAGACATTTCCTGCTGACTGCATTATACACTCTGGCTGTTCCTGTTAAAAGAGATTACAGGTATAAATACTATATTAAAAAACAACATCTACAGATCAAAGTGTGTTCTATGAGGAGTAACAAAGATCTCTTTATATAGTTACAGTTTCCCCTCACTGCACCGAGTTGCAAAAAATAAAACTATAACCTTTTTCAATTTCCTATGACTGTATCAAATAATCCTAGCGTTCAGCTAAAGATTAACAGAACATATTAATCCTTAGAAGCTTTCTTAGTCCGCTATCAGCAAAGTGCTGAAAATTGCATGTAATCGCAATATAAACATTTGAAAAGCACTTGACTGAGTCAGGGGCAGATAACTGCACAGCACTCAACATGAATCATACTATTCTCACTGTATGTAATTCTGATATTTACAGGAAATTATAAGGGTATATAGAAAAAGGTTATTTCTATCATTAAACGTATATACATGACTAAGTTTAGAGGAACTTTGAAATTCTTTTCTTGTTTGACAGCTTTAACCATTATGTGCTTGGCTCCCTGTACCAATAATTATGTTCTTTTTGGAAATAGTAAGCATGTAGCTATTTTAAAAGGAATGTACAGTGTTTCCAAAAATGTTCTGAAAAAAATCATATATTTTTATTGAAAGTGGTTTTTTAAACCCCCAAACAACAAATTATTATATTGCAGCTTACCAATTCTTACATGTGGTGGCTGCATTCATTTTCTATTTCATTTTTTTTTTCACCTGGTGATCAGCCTGTTATTGTTCATCTTCTTTGAACAAACCAAGCTGTTCAGAAAGAATAACTACTAACAGAGGTGCTTACAATGGCCAGCTTTTATTAATTTATTTAAAACCTTTATCCTAAAAGGAAAAGAAATGTTGCTGTAACTGATTAAAAATTGTTAGCTGGAGTTCAGCTTTAATTTGTTAGTCAAGTTCATTGAAATCTGCTAGTACATCCAAAAATACCCTCTTGACAGGGTAAGCAGGGCAAGCAGCTTCTGCTGTGCTGTCTCTTCAGAACACCCGTAAGTGTCATATACACTTTTATATAAACAGTAAGAAAAACTATTAGCTTATTAAAAAATTACCCAAACCATTAGCTTCCCTTTTAAGAGTAACTACACCTAAAAATGGTTTCTCAATTGGATGGAGATGAGCGGGGGCATAGTTTTCATCCACCAGATCTTTATTGCTGCTCAAGTCTTGAGCAAAGAGATTATTCTCGTACCTGGATGTACAGAAAGCTTGACATACAGCTGCTAAAGGTTCCCAAAAACAACACACAGACACTTATGGCCAAAACAAAAAAGTGAAAGTATCTCTATGTTAGAAGCTGTATTTTTCCACATTAAGGGTCCAATAGTATATTGTCAATAAGCATACAGTATATCAAGATCTTGCTCAAAGCATTGACAATAGTCATTTTGGTTAAACACCTAAAATCACTGCAGTGTGGCAGGTAGTTGTTCTCGTACAGCAGCAACACCCAAAGTTCTGAATGTTTAATCATTTAGATACAAATACCTCTGCTGCTCAGGGACTGGTTTTCTATCACACTTTCTCCTAGTTGCTGGCTCTCCCTCCTTATGAAAGGAGTAGGGCAATAGGTAACTTTTTTTTAAAATAGTACATATTGCAGTAGTGTGAAACATGCCAAGATATATTACTGTTCCGGTAAGTGCTGTTTTGAATAAAGCCTCACGATGCTTTTACTCTTTTCTCAGACTCTACATGTAGACACATGTTTAATAAATTGGATGGAGTTCTTTTAAAACCCCACTGCAGACCCTTTTTTTTGTATAAGGGATACAGTAGATCAGTCCCAAACTGGGACAATATAAACTGAACACGTTAAAAAAATGTATAAGCAGAGGATACCTTAAAGCGTTTGTAAAGTTCATTTTTTCTCTAATAAAATAACATGTTATGCTTACCTGCTCTGTGGTATTGCACAGAGCGGCCCTGATCCTCCTTCTTCTCGGGTCCCCCACTGGTGCTCCTGGCTCCTCCTCTTTTCAGTGTGCCACCATAGGAATCTGCTTCCTATGGTGGCACTTCTGTGGCCTTGATTCCGAGCCATGATGCCTGCGTCTATAGACACAGACAACAAGGTTTGGCCTCTCCCCCCACTACAGACAAGCTGCTACAGACAGGCAAAGTGCTGGATCTAGAATAAGTTCAGGTAAGTTTACGGATACACATACTGAAACATTTTTTACCTTAATACAGAGAATGCATTAAAGTAAAAAATGTTTAGGCTTTACAACCACTTTAAATGAAAACAAGTATAAACTGCACCCAAAGATTAGAACATAGGATTAAGGATATTTATTAAGATAAGGCTATTTATGAGCCGGACTAACCGTCAGCAGAGGCTGTAGCAATCAGCTGGCCAGCGGAATCAAATGAGACATCCAAAACCTCATCTTCATGTCCAGTCAGGGTAGACACACATTTACCACTCAGAGCATCCCACAGCTGTAAAAAGAAAATACATTAACATAAAATGTGGGAAAGCCAGCACAAACCAAATTTCTTTAGTTTAAATACAAAAACTCAATTTAATATGGGAAGCTGTTGAAATACTGCCACATTTGCTTACTATACCTTCAATGAGAGAGATGCTACTTTGCTGAACTCTTCTCTCCTCAAATATCTTGTTCCTGTGGTCAGTCCCTCTATTTGAACATATTACCTGAAACACTCTACTCCGGTGGTGGTCTTCCTGAAAACTATAGAGGATCTCAAATGGGTTTCCCCCTGACACTAGGAGAAATACTCCCAAAAAGACCCCAAATGGTATAATGGACATTTTTTATTCAACCATTCTGTTAAGTTACAATGCACTGTACCATATTATTAGACAGAATTTTAATAACCATGGGGAGACATTGAAACAGGATAAGGGTGTTAGTTCAAGGCTACCTGTAAGGCAGAACCACAGGTGGAAGAAAAGAAAATCACTCAATTTACCCATCAACACAGTCAAAGTTGATGGTGGAATGCCTCCAGCAGCGCAAGGGGGCACGGAAAACCTTACTATGCTGAAGAACACAATGATTACTTCTAGCAGCTATAGCGACTGGCAGTAATCGCATGTAAAATATCCTACAGGCTTGCCTGTACCTAAGTCGACCGATGAATCGACTTGGGTACATTCAGCCTGCACATACATGGATGGAAGTTTCGGCCGATCTCTGCTGAACTGGATGAATTTTGATCTATGTATGGTCAAGATAAGGCCTTAGTTTGTCTATAGGAAAGCAAGAAATATGGAACTGTAGATTGCATCAACACCAACAATTCGATCATTTACAAATTTAGGAAATAACCCTGTAAAGAGGACTGAATACATGAGGGGTTTTGTTATGTGCAATTTCTGCATGACATGTAGAAATACAGTCAGATTGAAGAAGTTTTAGGAACGTGTATTCACCCAGACAGGATAAAAAACATGTAAGACCCAACGAGTAGTATATGCTATCCAGTGCAAACCAATCATAAATTATGTGTAGGAAGAACAAAACATGAGTTACAGACAGACATGATTGTGGAAACATTTCTGTGGCATGTTAAAAGGTCATAAACACGCATATGATAGTTACCTTTCAGTATACGTAGCTATTCTTAAATTCCACCTTTCCTTTTTTTTTAATATTCCCCAATCCCCTCTACTATCCTAGTTGTGTGTCCTTGTAGGCACATTTCTTCTCCTGCCCCCCCCCCCCCTCTTTTTCTTCCTGTGGGTGTAGTAGTTGTTCTCCCATGCTTTTCCCTGATAAAAGAAACATTTTTTTTACTCCTTCCATTCAGCTAGATTATGGGATACCTCCATTGCCTACAGTATCCTATGTATCCCATACCCTATGTTTGCATCCACGTTATTAGATATATTTGTTTTGTATGTTGCTAATTTTGGACGCTGTATTACAGATCTTATTCTTGCTCTGTTTTTGTTGAGTTTGGGGAATTAAGGGGATTCGCTTACTGATGTTATTTACTAGCAATGTACGACTCTATGGAAGGATTTAATAAAAACTTAAAATGAAAAAAAAAAAGTCATAAACACCAAATTTTAAAACATTATAAGGAATATCACAACAAGAGTTAAAACGGTACCGATTTTGGGGCAAACACACTTGACATTCTGTTGCCACTATACAAAGTGCCCAACGTTCACCCGGCAGAAGGCTGGACACATAGTTACATAGTTAGTCTGGCTGAAAAAAAAGACAAAAGTCCATCCAGTTCAACCATAGAAAAAAAAAAAAGTAATAATCCTATACCAACAGTTGATCCAGAGGAAGGCAAAAAAAAACCCAGCAAAGCATGATCCAATTTGCAAAACAATTCTTTCCTGATCCCCCGAGAGGCAATCGGATATTCCCTGGATCAACTTTACCTATAAATGTTAGTATCCAGTTATATTCTGTGTATCTAAGAAATAATCCAGGACTTTTTTGAAGCAATCCACTGAGCTGGCCAGAACCAACTCGGTACCAGGCACTTACAATGCTGGGCACCAGGAATTTACACAGAACTAGGCACTGAAAGTCTGCAGACAGACTTGAGTCAAACTTCTCTGTATGGTTTTTAGTAGTCACAAGTTTGTGGAAACCATCACATTTACATTTAAATAGTGTCTAACCGCTAAGTACATAGTTAAAATACAAGTGAACTGTCTGCCAAAGATTTGTTATCCAGACATCCCTGCCACATCCTGCACCATTTTGCAGACTATAATTAGCAAAGATATATTCAGTCTTATCTAAGATCTGCACCAGCCTATGACTGGAAAATGAAGAAGCAGCAGCACACTGCAGAAATCACTCTGCTCTATCCTCCTATCAGGAACCTTACAGCAAAGTACAATGCAGTAGAGTTTGGCTGCCCATCTTCAGTGGAGTTGTAATCAGGGATTACAGGAGAATGTTACAAAGACAGCTTTATTTAAACATGCACCCTTCCAAAGAGTAATCTGGAGTTTGCCATTGCTATTTCCTATTCTGCAAATGTTAGGTGCCTGACTATCATGCTGACCTTCTTTTGATGCTTTCAGTCACTTGCGTGCAACATATATGTAGAGAAGGACTTCTAACTTTACTCTGACTTTGCTGATATGTATCAGTGTTCCAGATTCCACTGAGTGAGAAGGTATTAAAGCAAGTTAGTCAAAGTAACATCCAGACAAATAGCATGTTTAGATGGAAGTCAATAATGGCAAACCCGTGTTCATCCCAGATAAGGTTTGCTCTAAGAGTCACATTCATATTTGACCATTTTTCCTATAATAATACACACAAATTGTGCTGTATGAAAATTCAGTTAGAAATTGCACTAAAGGGATCATATCATGAGAAAGAAATAAAAGGGGCATTACCATCACTGGCCTCCTCCCAAGAATACTTTTTGTCTGGCTATATCTCACTTGAATAATTTCTGCGTCAATGACACAGAATAAGCATGCAGATTAAAAAGTCAGAGTAAAGTCAGAACTGCTGATATACACTCGTGTTTCAGGACAGTGTCTCAGAAAGCAATGAAACCATTGGACAGGCAGGCAATTTAAAAGACAGCAATGGTAACCTCTATATTCTCTCAGTTCAAGTTCCCTTTAATGATTTTTAATTAATCTATAACTGATCTAAACAGTGTTTATTTATATCTGCATGAAAATTAAACTAGAGCAGTTAAAAAAAAACACAGCTGCCCTAAAGTGAATCTGTGACCATAGTATGCACACTAAAGTATATACACATGCCGTGCAAGAAAAAATACTTTAATGCCTCTTGGCCATGTGCCTCCCAAGAGCCTCAAAACTCCAGTTTTTTACACTGTAAAAGCCGAAGAGCCAATGTGCATGAGGCCTAAAACGAACTTCATTCATCACTGTATCTACAAGCAACAAACCAGCTGAAACCTGGCTTTAGAATCTTTGTTGTGATGTTTGAGAACCATTGACAAAAACTCAAAATAAAAACATAGAGGGGTCAGGGACAACTTGTTTAAAAGTTCCTTTGTTACCTGTTAAAGTGTAATTTATCTCCCCACCCCCACCCATCTGTATACCCTTTGCTTGTGTACACAAACTTTCAGTATACATAAATTACCCCTTGGTCCTGCCAGTCAATTATCCATCCATGTCATTGCTGGTAACAGACTGCAGAGCCCCTGTAGCAATACCACCACACTGGGCAAGCTCCCTTCTTCTATTTAGTAAGTGATGTTACTCATAACTTACTGAGTGATTCTCCTACATCAGCACAGCCAAGGTTGGGCTAAGCCAGCAGCAGGTCACATGACCTAGCATCATCATTTCAGCCTTTAGCGGCTCTCCCTCTAGGCTATGAAGAGCAAAATGGAGCTGTCACTCAAGCATTTGATCCTCCCAGCAAGCAGCAACATCTACAAGGCTGATAAGATGCTTGGGTGACACCTCCAATACACTCAGTAAAACCTGGTGGGGAGGGCCTGAAAAGGCTGAAGCAACGTCACCAGGTCATATGAGTTACTGAAGTTTAGCCCCACCTCCAACCTAGACCATGCAGAAGGGAACGGGAAAAAAGTAATGTTAAAAAAGCACTAAAGAAGTTATAAAAATGATTTTCCCTGTCAGAGCAGGGAAAAGTTACGGCAGTTGATGATGGTTTAAACCTGAACGCACCAGTTCTGGTTTGGAAGCAGGTCACAATGGCTGTGGGTGCAGTGGGTACTATTTCTTCCCACACATTCCTTTGGGGGAACCCTACTTTGGCTCATTTGCAGTCTGTGCCAGACCCACAGGTCTGGGTTAGAAATGGTATCAGGACCCTGTGCAATATCATACCTGAAGGGCATCCTCACCTTTGATGAGCTGAGACGCCAATTTCACCTGCCCTCGTGGATGTTCTTCAGGTTTTTACAGCTTAGACACGCCGTACAAGTGCAGATCCCTGGTCCCTTCACTGGAGACAGTGCAAAATCTACCAGTTTGTTACATAGTTAGTCTGGCTGAAAAAAGACAAAAGTCCATCCAGTTCAACCACTAAAAAAATGTAAAAAAGTTATAATCCTACACCCACAGTTGATCCAGAGGAAGCCAAAAAAAAAAACAGCAAAGCATGAAGCAATTTGCACCTGCAGGGGAAAAAATTCCTTCCTGATCCCCCGAGAGGCAACTGGATATTCCCTGGATCAACTTTACCTATAAATGTTAGTATCCAGTTATATTCTGTGTATCCAAGAAAGAATCCAGGCCTTTTTTAAAGCAATCCACTGAGCTGGCCAGAACCAACTCTTCAGGGAGTCTATTCCACATTTTCACAGCTCTCACTGTGAAGAAACCTTTCTGTGTTTGGACATTAAATTTCTTTTCCTCCAGACGTAAAGAGTGCCCCCTTGTCCTCTGTGATGACCTCAAGGTGAATAACTCTACACCGAGTTCACTATATGAACCACTGATGTATTTATACATGTTGATCATATTCCCCCTTAATCTC